GATGTTAAACCATTTCAAGCATATGATCAAGAGCCATGATCCTGATGGAAGAAGTCCATGGTGCACTGAAAGCATTGGCAAAGAACAAGGCACCGGGAATAGCTGGAATTCTATTTGAAATTGAAAATAATTTGAACTCTTTCAACAAAGTGAAGTGGTACTTGAGGCGGTCACTCATCTATGCCAAGAAAATTTAAAAGACAATTCCCTGGCCAACTGACTGGAAGCGATCCATATTTGTGCCCATTCCAAAGAGAGGTGACCCCATGGAATGTGAAAAACATTGGACAATATCATTGGTATCCCATGCAATGAAGGTTTTGCTAATGATAATACAATAACATCTGCAACCATACACTGACAGAGAATTTCTAGAGGTTTAAACCGGACACAGAAGAGCACATGGATGAAAGGATATCCATGACGTCAGATGGATCTTAGCTGAAATTAGAGAATACCAGAAAGATGTTTACCTGTGCTTCATTGCTTTATTGACTACACAAAGGCTTTTTTTTTTTTTTTTTTTTTAAGTTCAAGGATGTTTACTAAAGCATTGTTTACAAAAGACTTAGCAAAATAAGTTGGCAACAACTTTAGTTACCATTGAGGAAAGGGCTAAATACACCATAGTAAATTAAAAGAAAAAGGATGAGGTAGTATCAAAATAGAAGGCTATCCAGGCAAATCATTGAGAACAAAGGGCAAGTTGCAGAATGAAGTGAGTACAGAATGAAACGTTTATATAAAAGGGAAACAAACACTGCACATCCAAAATGCATCATCATGTGCCCTTTAAGACATGTAAAGACAAACAGCTTGGGAAGGATATTTACCTGATTAAAAATAGTAGTTACTTGGAGCAGGATGAGAAGGGCTTGGTGAGGAAGCATTAAGAATAATGTTAGCTCTATTTGCAATGTTCGGTGTTTGTTTTTTAACAACAACCAAAAAAGGTATTCATAAATTATTTAATTTTTTTAATCCTGTGCTTTAAAATTGCTTTTTTTTTTAGTTTTTATTGTAAATTGAGTGATAGTGTACATGGGAGAGCATCAGCTTTACATTCATCTTATCATATTTTGTTTCCTTGTAGTGATTACCATCCCCTCCATGCAACATCATTCAACAGCATTTGCTTCAAATCCCCTATTTTTTTTTTTTAATGTACACAGAAGCACTCTGTGTACATCCAAAAATGAATATATAACCATTCAAACAACCAAAGGGTATACCCTGCATGCCAGCCCACCAGCTGCCAGCACATAGCCCCTCTCCCTCCTTGAGTCTAGAGTCCCCAGCTGCTCTATCTCTCCACGTCATCGTCTCTGCCTCCATCTCTGGCATTACTGCTTCTCTGGATAGGGTTCCACACTCTGCTGTTTTCCCTTGATGGTCCCAGTGTCCTCTGATCCTGGACTGCAAGATCAACCACTCCCCTCCTTTTGTTACAAAACAGTTTCCTTTACATTTGCAACATTCATAATCAGTCCTGATAGCAGTTATTTGCTGTTGAACCACAAGAGTCTTATCCCCATATCCTTTCACCAGTCCCATAGAGACAGGTTGGACACCATTCAGTGGAGATTCTACCTTCCCCCTCACCCTCTGAAACTAAGCTCCTTCTTGAAAACTTGTAAGCCCGTCACTTCATGCCTTTGTAGGCACCCCACCCCCACCAATCCAAGTATCCAATGTCTAAGTTGCTCATCCCTGCCAACCCTATGTGCAGAGGGGGTGAGAATGATCCTTGCTATAAAGATTCATTCCCTCTTTTAAGCTACTACATCCATTAGTATAGGTCAAGTCCATCAAATTGTAGCTGATTACACTTTTTTCCTTCTTTCTTCCTCTAGTCAAGTTCTGGTCATCCAACCATTGAAACTAGGTCAAATGGGTACTATCTGCAAGTATGGTCATTCTTTACACAAAGGCTTTTGATGTTGTGGATCATGACTAGCTATGGGCAATATTGTGAAGGATGAGTATTCTGGAGCACTTAATTGTGCTCATGAGGCACCTGTACATAGATTAAGAAGCAGTTGTTTGAACAGAACAAGGGAACACTGAATGGTTTAAAATTAGGAACGGTGTGTGTCAGGGTTGTATGATTTCACTATATTTATTTGCTCTATATGCTGAGCAAATACTTTGAGAAGCTGGATGATATGATGAAAAACATGGCATCACGATTGGAAGAAGACTCATTAACAATCAGCAATATGCAGATGATACATCCTTGCCTGCTGAAAGTGAAGAGAATTTACAATTCTTAGTGATAAATATCAAAGATCACAGACTTTGATATGGGTTGCATCTCAATACAAAGACAACAAAAGTCCTCACCACTGGACCAATAAATAATGTCAATGTAAATGGTGTAAAGATTGAAGTTGTCAAAGTTTTCATTTTGCTTGGATCAACCATCAACATTTATGGAAGCTGCAGTCAAGAAATCAAATGATGTATTGCATTAGGCAAATCTTCTGCACAAGACCTCTTTGAAGTGTTGAAGAGCAAAAGATGTCAGTTTGAGGAATAACCCAAGCCATGGTATATTCAGTAACCTCATGTGCATGTGAAAGTTGGACAATGAATAAAGAAGAGTGTAGCAGAATTGATGTGTTTGAGTTATGATGTTGGAGGAGATTATTGAAAGTACCATAGGCTGCCAAAACAACAAATAGATCAGTGTTGGAAGAAGTACAGACAGAGTCCTCCTTGTAAGCTAGGATGGTCAGACTTCATCTCTCATCTTTGGACATATTATTAGGAGGGACCAGTCCTTGGAGAAGGATATTATGCTTGGTAAAGTGGCGGGTCGGAGAAAGAAAAGAAGAGCCCCAACAAGATGTATTGGCACAGTTATAATCTACAAGGGCTCAGGTGTAGGAGTGATTGTGAGGTTGGCACAGGATCAGGTAGTGTTTTCTTCTGTTGTGCTTAGGGTTGCTCTGAGTCAGTACCAGCTCAATGGCACCTGACACCAACAAAGCTTTATCTTGTGAAATGCATGAAGATAATTTTGCATTAAAATGAATGAAACTTGTTTTAAATTTATTTTAATTTAGATAGACTTCATGCTTTTTCATTATTATACATTTCATACTTGTCTTGTTTTTCTTGCATTTCTATTTATCCCTAATTGTATCCTTTTGATTTTTTTAACTAGAAATGCTGATAAATGCTGAATGCCTTCATTTTTGGTTTAGAGCAACTATTTAGGTTCTTATCTTCTTTGTCACAGATTATTGTAATTTTCTGTAATTACTTGCATGATTATGATTTCTTTGTTTTTCAGTATGACACAATGGGGAGAAATCAGACTGCTGTGAGAGAAGAGATGATTCGATTAGCAAACTACTTAGATAGTGTAAGTTGTATTTTCTGTCAATCAGAATGGTTCTATTTTATCCCTTAACAGTCTAAGAGCAGATTTTAAAAAAACTATCTCAATTTGGGCTCTAATTATCTCAAAGCCTAAATCTGCCTGAGATCCACTTTCTAGTTTGTTTATAACTTTTTTTAATATTGGGAAAGTACAAGTGCAGAAAGGCTAAGAAGATTGGGAAATTTTATAACATCTACCTTAGTCTATAACTTAGAGTAGATAGACTAAGAGATGACTTGGTTATAAAAAGATACTAAGTTTTTATTGAGAGAGGTTTGTTTTGAATAAGGCTGCCTCCTATTCATAAATTTCTAAATGACAATTTTTTTTGTGTGTGTGTGTGTGTTTGTGTTTGATTTATTTTGAGATCTTGGAGTTTATTTAGTAGGAGATAACTGACAAATTAGATGTATGTTGTTTATGATCAGAGTGCTTAGCACCTGTTTATGGGGATGGGGTAGGACCGGTCAGTGTATGGGGTCATCATCCATGATACATAGGCTGATTTCATATGGCTAACAACAGTAGTCTTGTAAGATTATTTCATCTAAAAGATAAGACATTAGTTGCAAGCAAGATAGTAATGTAGTGATGGTGATCATGATAGCCTTCTCCTATAATGTACTAAAAAATGAATGAAATATTTTACTTTAATTAACTCATTTACTCACAGTATCTCTGAAATAGATACTATAGTTCCATAAAACTCTACCTGAAACCATTGGTTCATATGTGTTTAGAATTTTAGGTAAGAGTTTAGAATGGTAATATGGTTCATATACTATGTATTGCACAACCTCTCAGCAGCACTTTGTAATCAACCCATTACAGTTCCTGCAGTGAATTTTATGAATATTTACAATAAATTTCAAATAAATCTACAGTAAATTGGAATAAATGTGGATTCTAAAGCCTTTAATCAGTTTAGGGCAAGTGTTGTAGCCAAATTGAATTTGTCAGATTTTGGATTGGGATATAAAAAACATTTTGGACCTTTGTTGTTACTATCACTCTACAGATGAAGGAACTTGAGACTCAGAGAGATTAGAATTCCATAGGAAGAATTTTTTAGATAGTAATGTCTGTTTATCGTTTTAGTATTTATGTTACTAGACTGTGATTATAGGATTTTTCTCATATTCTTTAGTATATCTTATGTGCTTTTATTTCTTTTCTTTCTAGATGTATATTATGTTAAATATTAGAATTGTACTAGTTGGACTGGAGATTTGGACAAATGGAAACCAGATCAACATAATTGGAGGTGCTGGCGATGTGTTGGGGAACTTTGTACAATGGCGGGAAAAGTTTCTTATAACACGGAGGAGACATGATAGTGCACAGCTAATTCTGTGAGTGATTTTAAAAAATATTAGTAAAATGGTCATAATAATTTAAACATTTTTTCTTTAGAATTATATTGTCTTTAAGTTTTTTGGTATCCAGGTAAGTGAGGAAAACTCAGTTTGTTACCATCAAATATGACAGTGTGATAACTAGACCTCTCATGGTACCCCTGCTACCTTTGTCCCATGCCTTTCTTCCTCTTTCATAAGTTTTCTCCCTCATTTTGGTAGCACGTGATCTCTAGTTGCTTTGTGAGAAAGGATACATGAAAATAAAATATTTTGATCTCTGGTATGTCCAAAAATGTATTTTTTCTGCCCTCACACTTGTTTGATGATTTGACTGGATATAAAGTTCAAGGCATGAAATCTTAGTACTTCATAATATTTAAGAAAAAATTCTTATCCCTACATGGCATTTTTATGATACTACACCAGAATTTCTGGTGTGGTGCTGTAGGATCAGCACTGGACTTCAGTTCAAACCGATCTTGTAGTCTAGTGCATTATTCCACAACGTCACACCAGGACTCCAATATATGTATAGTGGGTTTTTTATCCCTTCTCTCAGTATTTATTGGAGTCCTGGTGTGGTGCTGTAGGATAAGCATTGGACTGCTAACCACAAGGTTGGTGGTTCATACCTACCAGTTGCTTCTTTGATAGCCTGTAAGGTGGAAGGTCAGAGAAAAAGAGGAAAACCCCCAACGAGATGGATTGGCCAAGTGGCAGCATTGATGGACTCAAGTGTGGCAACGGTAATGAGGTTGGCCCAAGATCGGGCGTTGTTTCGTTCTGCTGTGCATAAGGTCGCTATGAGTTGGTACCGACTTGATGGCACTTAACAACAACAACAACAACAACAACATAGTGTTGCTTTGAATCTATACTGACTTGATGACACTTAACAATAAAACAACAATATATATCACTCCTAAAATTCACATCTTTTTCGCAGAGTAATTTTCCTTAATTTTATTACGTTCCTTTTGTTAATATTAGTTCATTTAAAGCAGAGTACTGAAAATACCTAGATGGTCTTTTATGACTCCAAAAATATAAAGACTTCGTCCTGACATTTAAAAAAAATTTAGTTAAGTTATATAAGCATGTATTTTCATACTAGTGAGAATGCCCTTTATTTATAAATCACTAAAAAAGTCTTCAATCAACCATGCCCACCAGCTTGTCATTTTCTTTTCTTTGGTCTTCATCTTTCATTTTAGAGGCTTTTCCAAGATGTGTTCTCACTCATATTCTTAAGTGTTCAAGAGACTTGTTCATCGATCCTCTTAACCATAAATAAAAAAACAAGGATTTTCAGACATCTGAGAACTATGGAATCACTGTTGGGTGATCTAACTTGCATGATTCCGTGGGAATTATCTTACATTAGTATTGCTAGTTCTCATCTCTTGGGCTGGTCAAAGTCCCAGAGCAGGATTTATTCACTTATTTAAAAGAGTTTCAGTGTTTCTATGTACCAGGCACTGGGGTAGAGTAGTGAACAAAACAGATCAAAATTCCTACTCTAATGTGCCTATATTTTGGTGAAGGAGATTGTCCATAAATGAGCTAATTAAGTATGATATATAGTATGTTTTATAAAGAAGCCCTGGGGTATAGTATGGTAAATGTTGGGCTGATAACCACAAGGTTGGCAGTTCATACCCACTAGTTGCTCCAAGGAAGAAAGATGAGGCTGTTTGCTGCTGTAAAGATTTTGGAGTCCTGGTGTGGTGCTGCAGAATAAGCACTGTACTGCTGCTATCCAGAAGGTGGGTAGTTCAAACCTATCAGTCGCTTCATCGGAAACCCTATACAGGGTCGTTATTACTCAAAACCCACTCGACTGTGCTTAACAACAACATGGTATGTTAAATAGTAAGTAGCAAGAAGACAAATTAAGCATGGAAGTGAGATGAAAAGTATTGGAAGAATGAGTCTCAAATTGGAGGCATCATGGCCAGTGAAGTTCTTCCAAAGATGACTTTTGAGTAAAAACCTGAAAGAGGTGAGGGAGGGAATAAGTTGGAGAAGAGAGTTCCAGCGCTGAGACTAAATCCTGAGATGTCCGCCAATACTAAGGAATGATAGTTGTAACTTTGTTCTTTTTTATTGTGCTTACTGACCTACAGCCTCATGTGTGAATATAGTCATTTAGTTTTTTGTCTTTCCTCACTAAAATTTGTTAAATAAATAATTGTAATGCATTTTAGGGTAAAAAGCAAAACCAAATCTTCTTTGTTTTATGTTTGTCTGAAAAATGCGTTTCTAATATTATTCTCATTCTCTGATAATAAAAAGAGTTTAAGGCATAACTGTCTTTTATCTTTCTTTAGCTTTAAAATTTCTTTATTTTTATAAAACTATAGAAGCCACTACAATTGCCAATTTGACATTTTTTTTCACGTATACATTTCAACAAAACCAATGATGTCCTGTTATGCAGCCATCACCTATAAAGAGGCTTCCAAAAGTTTGTGGAAAAATTCTATTATCTTTTAATCCATTTTTCCAAGAACTTTTTGAAGCCCCCTTATATATTCTCATTTTACAATTGTTATGTTTTATTGCCATTTCTCCCCGCCGCCCCAGTGGTTGTGGGCTGTACTCGTTTAAGATAGCCATAAAAATAGAATTCATGTGTTCCTTTTCCCCCAGTATAGTTTTATCATGTTTACCTCCTTCTTCTTTTTTTTTTTTTTCCATTTAGGAAGAAGGGTTTTGGTGGGACTGCAGGAATGGCATTTGTGGGAACAGTGTGCTCAAGGAGCCATGCAGGCGGGATTAATGTGGTATGTTTTTGCTTTTTATTTCCAACCTTGAACATATGTGTTAGGACATTGTCAAGCATTGATTGTCTCTATACTTCTTCCAACTGGGAGAATAATCAGACTTTCTGTTCCCACAATAATCCTAATTAATGACATCCTGCTTTGGACAGTTTGGGCATATCCCTGTGGAGACATTTGCATCCATTGTTGCTCATGAGCTGGGCCATAACCTTGGAATGAATCATGATGATGGAAGACATTGTTTTTGTGGCGCAAAGAGCTGCATCATGAATTCAGGAGCATCGTGAGTAACTGAATTCTTCTTATTTTTTAAAATATGATATTGTATAGACCATTGTTCCCTGAACTCTGCCAACACTCATGCTGACATTGAAAAAAACAAACCCAAAACAGGGAAAATTATTCCTGGCTTTCAATAATTAATTATATGATACAGCAATGAGAAGTCTATTTTTTAATTAGGTAATCCCAGAGAGCTTTAAGAAAGAAATGTTTAGGTAGCCACAAGTAGGTATATTTCTACAAGCTTTCACCTACTTGAACCTGTGCACATATTTATAGACTGATCTATGTCTCCACCCCCTGCAAATTAACATGAAGCTCTGATCTCTGTACCTGTACATATAACCCTATTGGGAAAAAAGGGAAAAGAGACCTGAAGACACATATACATTTGGGGAAGACAGATGCCATGTAAAGGTACCTCTTTATGCAAAACAACAAAGACAGTGACTGTCAGCAGACACCAGAAACTAGGAGAGGACCACAAAAGTAATCAGCAGGGCCAAGACTCTTGATTTTCAGTCTCCAGAACTGTGAGTAAATAAATTTCTGTTCCTGAAAGTCACCCACATGTTCTCTTTTTGTTATGGTAGCACTATGAAACAAATACTGTCATCTTACCTGCTACTGTGGATGAATTTCCCAGCTCCATCAAAAGGTCAATTCACCAGCAATTTTATTGTCCCTCCATTTGTCTTGCTGTTTCCTCTCTTTTCTCTCCCCTTCTGCTCCTCCCCCATCGTTGTTTAGTTTTCCCTACTGAATCTTTCCAGCAAACAAATATACGATAATTTTTCCATCTTACACACACACATAAAGCCTTTCTTTTTACCCCATTTCTTCCTCCAGCTGCCAACCTCAAATTTTCTCCTTTATGCTAGAGCAAAATTCTTTACAACTTTTTATTTTGACTTGCCTTAATGTTTTCAGTATCTCTAACTCTATTCCCTCTTTAATGTATGCACTTCAATCAGAATTTCATTCCCATTGGTTCTTAAAACTGTATTTTAAAGGCCTACATTGACCACTATATTGCTATATCCAATAATGATTTTTCAAGCCTCCTCTCACTTGAATTTTCAGCAGTGTTTGACACAATACATTATTTACTCCTTGAAAATTTGAAAAGTTTTTTTTTTTTTTTTTAACTTGGCTTCCAAGACATTATGTACTCCTTTGTTATGTCTTGGCATAGATTTAACAAGAACTGTATAAATTTTATATGAGTAAAATTCTAAGGCATTCTTGAAAGGCACAGAAGTAGACTTAAATAAATGCAAAGACAAGTTATATTAATACATAAAAAGATTCAGTCATGAAAACATCTGTTCTCCCTAAAGTAATTTATAAATTGAATGTGATGCTAGTAATAATAAAAGTTTATTTCTGCAGCAAGACATGTTGATTATAGAATTCAAATGGGAAAATAGGAATATTCATGAAAATCCTGGAAAAAATATGTTGGGAAGAAGAGGCCAGCTCTACTACATATTAAAACATTTTTAAAGGCTCTATACACCCATTCCTCACTTATTGGCATGGTTAGAATCCAAAGGCCAGATCATTACATGTATATTGTTGATATGCAAAAATGGAGGATGAAATCAGATTGAACAATGGAGAACAATTACATAATTATATAACTGTCAGATTACATCTTTTTTTGTTTTAAACTTTTTATTGTGAATTGAGTGAAGATTTACAGACAAGATCATCAGTGTTATATTCAACAATTCATAACACTTTGTTTCAATTCAATGGTTGCAGTCCCTTCCTTGTAACAACAGTTGTCCCACTTCCTCCCTGTGGTTCCTGTTTCTATTCCACCCTCCTTGAGTCTTAGTCTTGGAAGGGGATTTGCCCTGAGGGAACCCGACCACTTGCCTTGATGTCTCCTGGGTGAGCAACTTGCTTGTTCTTGTAGTAATCAGTTGGACTGCCTATATTGTTTTGTATTTTTCCTGTTGGTCATTCTTTCAGGAAGTATCTTCTGTTCTTCTAGCTGTTCCAGGCTGGGCTGCTTGTCCTTTCAAGTGGAAATTTCCCACCTCTGAAGATTCTGGATGGGGTTCAGGATTCCCCCTCTGGTCTTATGTAATGCAGAGGCTCCCAAATTTTCTTTTGCAGATGTCCAAATACTACTGTTTATGCTCTTTCATGAATTGCTTTGGTACCCATCTCCCATAAACTTTTTGAAACCCAAATTTGTCATGGAATATTTCATAGACAGAGCCAGGACTAATTTGCAAATGATTTACCAAATAATCCACTGTCACTCGTCTGTTCGACAGAATCATTCATTTCACATGCATGCTCAATATTGTCATCAGCTGTGGACATTGATGGGTGGTATAATATAACTGGACTGAGAAAAAATTTTGACTCACCCTCATGTATTCATCGGTATGTTTGCAGCAAAGGTATATAACCATTTGAAATATCCTCTTTCAAACCTATATATTTGTAGATACACTTCCATTCTTCTTCCTATACCCATTTAGCCTATGTATCCATCCAGGTATCTATCTGCAGAACACCGTTGTTGCTGGGTTGTGTATATAACTCTATTTACCTTTTGTATACTTTAATACTTGAATTCCTCCCTATGTCTTCACTTGTCTTTATTATTCTTCTTCCAGCTGCCCTCTATTGTATGTTACCTTCCCATCACCTGAGTTACCATATGTCTACCCTCTAGCCAATGAATTACTCTCCCTTCTCTGCCACCCCTGGTAACTGTCAAAGATTATTTCTTTTGGCATGAAAACCTTTTTTTTTTTTTTTTTTTTTTTTTTGAGGTTGTGCAATAGTGTTCTCATACAAAAATGTCCTCTTGTGATTCACTCATTTCACTCAGTGTAGTGTCCCCCAGGCTCATGCATGTTATCAGGTGTTTCACAGATTCATCATAATTATTCAGCATTGCATAACATTCCATTGTGTGTATGCACCAAAGTTTGTTATGCATTCTTCTACTGATGGAAATGTAGGCTGTCTCCATCTCTTTGTTATTGTGAAAAGTGTTGTGATGAACATTGGTGTGCAAATATTTATTCATGTTATTGTTTTGGATATATACTAAGTTGAGAAATTTCTGAGTCATATGGTATTTCTATTAACAAAACAGTTTCCATGCTGATTGAACATTTTAAAGTCCCACCAGCAATGTAGGTGAGTCCCAGTACCTCTAGACCCTCGCCAGCATTAGTTGTTTTCTGTTTTTTATGAACTTCACTGTTAATATTTGTGTGAGATGATATCACATTGTTGTTTTGATTTGCATTGCTCTAATTTTTAGTTACGGTGTTGGAGGAGAATATTGAAAGTGCCATGGGGTGCTAAATGAACCAGTAGATCCGTTTGGGAAGAAGTGCAACCAGAGTGCCAGTCTCACTACTGTTGCCACGCTTGAGTCCATCGATGCTGCCATTTGGCCAGTCCATCTCATTGGGAGTGTTTCTCTTTTTCTCTGACCTTCTCCAGTGACTTGTCCCTCCTGACAATATGTCCAAAGTATGAGAGATGAAGTTTGGCCATGTTGGCCTCCAAGGAGCACTCTGGCTGCACTTCTTCCAAAACAGATCTACTGGTTCTTTTGGCAGCCTATGGCACATTCAATAGTCTCGTCTAACACCATAACTCAAAAGCATCAGTTCTTCTACGGTCTTCCTTCTTCACTGTCCAGCTTTCACATGCATATGAGGTTATTAAAAATACCATGGCTTGGGTTAGGTGTACCTTAGTCCTCAAGCTGACATCTTTGTTCTTCAACACTTTAAAAAGGTTTTGTGCAGCAGATTTGCCTAATGCAATACATCCTTTAATCTCTTGACTGCTGCTTCCATGAGTGTTGATAGTTGATCCAAGAAGAATGAAGTCCTTGACAATTTTAATCTTTTCTCTGTTAATAAGAATGTTGTTTATTGGATCAATGGTGGGGATTTTTGTTTTCTTTACATTGAGATGTAATCCATACCAGATAGCTGTGATCTTTGATCTTCATCAGTAAATATTTTAAGTCCTCTTCACTTTCAGCAAGCAAGGTTGTGTCATCTGCATATTGCAGGTTGTTAATGTGTCTTCCTCCAACCTGATATCACATTTTTCTTCATATAAGCCATCTTCTCGGAGTATTTGCTCAGCATACAGGTTGAATAAGTATGGTGAAAGAATACAACCCTGTCACACACCTTTCTTAATTTTAAACCATTCAATGTTCCCATATTCTGTTCGAACAACTGCCTGTTGGTCCAGGTACAGATTCATCATGAGCACAATTAAGTGTTCCGGAATACTCATACTTCACAATGTTGTCCGTACCTTGTCATGATCCACACAATCAAAAGCTTTTGCATAGTCAATAAAGCACAGATAAAAATCTTTCTGATATTCTCTGCTTTCAGTTAAGATCCATCAGACTTCAGCAATGATATCCCTCATTCCACGGCCTCTTCTGAATCTGGCTTGAACTTCAGGAAGTTCTCTGACACTGTATGCTTGCAGCCATTTCTGTATTACCTTTAGTAAAACTTTACTTGCATGGCATATCAAAGAGTTTTTTCGATGATTTCTGCATTCCGTTGGGTCACCTCTCTTTGGAATGGGTACAAATATGGATCTCTTCCAATTAGTTGGCCAGATAGCTGTCTTCCAAATTTCTTGGCAGAGATGAGTGAGTGCCTCCTGGGCCTCCTCACTTTCTTGAAAGATTTCCATTTGTATTCCATCAATTCCTGGTGCCTTGCCTTGTTCTTTGCCAATTCCTTCAGTGCACCTTGGACTTCCTCTTTCAGTATCATAGGTTCTGGATCATATGCTCCCTCTTTAAGTGGTTGAACTTGAACCATTTCCTTTTAGTACAGTGACTCTGCGTATTCCTTCCGTCTTCTCTTGATGATTTCTGCATCATTCAGTAATTTGCCCGGAAAATCTTTCAATAACGAAAGTCGAGGCTTGATTTTTTCTTCAGTTACCCCAGCTTGAGAAATGCTGAGTGGGTCC